AAGCCAGCACGCTGGCTGCCATCATAGTTGAAGTGGGTAAGCCAGCACGCTGGCTGCCATTGTCCCCTTACCAGCAGCCCAAATGCTCACGACGATGAGCTGGGCTGTCACCGCTTGGCCGCCGGTGGGGGGTTTGGGAGGCCGCATCACACACAGACACCCACACACTCCCTCAACTTACACGAACACACACATACGCAGACTCATTTCCACACGGACATAGACACACGCACAGAAACCCACACACTACCTCAACTCACTCGACTTCACACTTCTCACTGCACACTTACCGGATAACTCGCACTCTGACTTCCTACGTGATGAAAAATGCTTTTGGGCCACTCGTCGTCTAGTTTTTTGCACGAGTGGAGCTGCCGTACGTGCAGGAAATGCACAGGTCAGCTTATGCTGTTTTTGGATGAATCTCCTGTAAGGCCAAAGCCAGCAAGCAACACAAAACACAAAACCCCAACAACAAAACAAACAACCAAACAAACAAAAAAACAGAAAAGCAGAAGAAGGAGATTCATTCTACATCCAAAGGTGAGATCAAAGGTGAAACAGTGAGACAAAATGATGTTGTTGGGCAATGAATTAAGGCAAAAGTTTCGGTTTGGATGGCGAAGTGCAAGAGCCTGCAGTCGAACTGAGCGAGGCAAAAGGCCTGTGGCAGGCCTATGCAATGAGCACCATTCAAGCGCTTATGATTTTTGTCGTGAACCCTGGGTGGCAATGAACCTGTTGCCCACTGCCAAAAGTGCACGAATATCAATCAAGAGGAAGCACGAATGTTGCAGGTGATTGTGGAAAACAGTGAAGCACTCAAGCTCTAACGTGACAAGCGAAAGGGAATTGAGCCTCCACTATGGCCTGCATTCTTTGTGATTGACAGAGATGGCGGATCCAATGTTGGCAAATCTGACACTGCCAAAGGCTCCCTCCTGTCAGAAGGGTGCTCCATGACAGCTAAGCCTGCAGGAACACCATTTGTCGTGGCAAGTGGTGTCATAGTGAGGTGGCCGCTTCATCATTGTGGTGCAAACTCTCAAGAATCCACTGTCCATGGTGCAACACCCTTGTGAGACATGAAGGTGAAACATGAGTGTCGTGTCATCTGTACACTTCATACATGGCTGGCAGGGTGAGTGACCCACCCTAAGGTCCTCGCCTGAGCTCCGCTGAACCTTTTTGCCTGACTAGTTGGTTGGGTTCGTATGCACTCGGAAGAAGGTTGATCCATTTCGGAACAAAAACGGTCGCGCAACTCAAAGGCCGAGTGTTCGGCAAAGGGCTGCTCGTGGACAGCTAACGCCGCCTCTCGAATGTTCGTGGCACGCACCTGAGCCTCTCGGCGCAACAGCCCTCTCGGGACCATGCCCCTGAGTCCCGCTGTTGGTCTGCATTGCTTGCGTCGCATATACTCCTGAGTGCTCTTCCGCTAACTCCGCCAGGGGCTGTGTGGATGTCAGGCTTTTTTTGCACGAGTGGAGACGCCATGTGTGCATGGTGCACAGGTCATCTTGGACTAAGTTATGAATCTCCAAAATCTCATAGAAGAGCAAAACAAAAACAACCGAACCAACACCCCAACAAAACCAAACAACCAACCCACAAGAACAGCACCGAGAGAGGAGGAGATTCAAGTCTGTACAGATAGAGTGAAACATCAGTGAAACTGAACTATGACTCTTTTGTTTTGGGCATTGAATTCAGAAGTGAAACAGATGAAAACGGTCTCCCTTCATGGTTTTTCAGATGCGAATTTTGCACCGTATCGGTTCAACAAACGCAGAGGGATTTCTGGAGGAGCCACTTTCTTTGAACGTAGCTTGGTACGCAGCATGTCTCGACAGCAACAGGCACTTTCTTTCTCTTCGTGTGAAGCTGAGCTCTATGCCATCCAGGCTGTATGTCAAGAAGCGATAGCCTTTGGAAAGCTGACGCAACGGTTACTTTTCAGGATTGGGGAGCTTGACAAGTCCGAACCTGTTACGGTGTGGTTGGAGTCCGATAGTGCTTCAGCCTTGCAACTCCTACAGTCTGTGGATGTGCCGAAGAAATCTCGGCATGTAGAGATCAGGTTACTCTGGATGAAGGAGCAACTGTCAAAAGGTGGGTTGCACTTGCGTCACCGTCCAGGGGTGAGTAACCCAGCTGACATTTTCACGAAGTGCCTTGGAACACGGTTGTTTCTTCAGCATCGTTACACTTTGGGACTTGTTCAGTTTGATGGTCTTGTGACCGAGTTGCGTGAGCTAGGATCACTGAAGAAGGAACCTGTGTGGACCTTAGCCTTTGTAGAAGCGTGTTGCTCAGAATACTCCAACCTCCGACATGCATGTGAGTATTCGAAGGTGCCATATGTAGGAGTTGTAGCAAATATGCAGTCAAAAGGAACTTTGAGTCGCGTCCAACTGTGTATACAACAGTGGGAAACGAAACCACTGTGGGTGCATGTCCATGCTTCCACTCCATGTGCAAGTGGATCACCTTTGAAGAACTTCAACAAACATGTTGTGTCAACTAGTGATCAGGAATGGGATGAAGTCATGAACAGTGTTGAGCAGTACTTAGCCTTGGGATGTTGTACGCAGCAAATGTCAAACTTTGCAAGGTCGGAGTGAGAGGGAAAGATGGCAAGCCAATTGGCAAGACCTTGAGATTTGTGTCAACAGCAAAAGCGTTTGCAGGCTCACTGGAGCGCAAGTACGGTCAGTACTCTTGTGAAGAGCACGCCACTTTGTTTGAGACCGACGATTCCAGCACAGCATACTACAGTAGAAAGCTAGCTCGTGGAATCTTGGACGCGGTCAAAGCCGCGCGTAAGGATCCTTAGAGCGCAGATCAGCTTGAGTTTCACTTTTGTGTTTTCGCTCTCCTGCATGGATGAAGTCATGTTTGAAAGGGGGTGTTTTTGCTTGTTTCAGTCATGGCAAACAGCAGTCTGTATTGACCTTAGCGGCGCTGGGCTTAAGTCACGAGCTTAGGGTTGGTTGCAGAAACGAGTAGCTGAACTTCCATGAACATGTACAGTTCTTGCATACATCGCTACGTCGATCCGAAAAGTTGGTTTTCTTTTGCTTGACACCTGAAGCGGAGTTAACTAAAGCTCTGTGTGTGTGGGTGTTTGGTTTTACACTTTGCTTCACGTTTGAAGCGCACTTAGCTCCTTTTCGGGCCATGGCAACTTGGTCTGAAGCTGATGAACGTAAGCTTCAGGAGCTTTCAGCCAAGAAGGTGATGGCGGCATCTTCTCGTTTGGGAGATGCTGAGGTGACTGGAACCATGGCTGATAGTACCAAACGGCGTTTGAGCTTTGGGAAAGATGACGAAGGATGGAAACTGGTCCAAGACTTTGAGCCAGGGCAGCCGTCCTACTCTACTTGGCTGTGGACCAGGTGGGCACCCCAATGCCGGAGGCGAAGGGGATTGACAGTTTGAAGGAGTGGGGCTCGACACTTTGCGAGTTGCCCAAGGTGAAGAAGTTGAACCTCAGTTATGAGCAGCTCACCCAGCGTGCCATGGAAGGTGACACAATATTCAGAGATTACCTGATTTGGTGGTATGGGCCTGGAGCCAAAGTTAGCAGGATGGTTGAAGACCTCGTGAACTACGTGAAGGCGATTGGTTTGACCAAGGAGATCTTGAAGGGATCACAGTCCAAAGATGAGCTGAACATGGTCCTTTACTGAGCTGGCTTTGGAGGGATGTGCTATGAAGGGGCTTGGTTAGCCCAGAGTTCAAATGACAGTCCACGTCAAAAGGGGGTGTGAAAGTTGCAACCTGACTTGTTGCCTCTGTGTGACGTGTCCTGAGTTCTTCACTGACTTGATGCCACCTATGGATGAGGTGGCAGGCGTCACTTTTGGGTCACGCTTTGGATGAGCGTGGCAATGCATGGACAATGGCTTCTTGAGGATGCCATTTTCAGTACTTTGTGGGCCACGTTGGCCAGAACAGTCATGAGGAGACGTTTGAAGCTCTTTTGTGTGCAGGACTACTTGCAGTGCATGATTTGAATCTTTTTGCACCACGTATCATCTGTGTTTGATAGAAGAAGTCGAGTTTTTGCTTCGTAGATGGTTTTTGCGTTTTTGCATGATCGATGTCACTACGTGACGATGTGTATGTGTAGAAAGTTAGTTTTGCGTGAAGATACAGATGCCGAACATCGTCTTTCAGACGATGATGGAAACTTGGAAGCTGCCATGATTTCGCTTGTGGCAACTTAAAAGACTGGAGCCTGCTGGTTTTCTTCCAGCTTTTGGACAAAGTCTGTTTTTTGTGGACTTTGGCTCAAGCAAGCTGAAGTCATGAGAAGTCAAGACAGTGTACAGAACAGAACAGGCAGCTAGCCACGTTCGTCCGTGGTGTGTTGGAAAAGAGTTTGGTGAAGCTTCGTTGAGGGTTGAGAGCACCTGGTTTCCGCTTCGTCGTTCGATTGGTTCGAACCTGAGACACGTGAAACTTGTCGACTTTGGTTTTAGTTTTGGGGTTCGCGTAGACGTACACGTAGTGGTTTGCTTGCTAGACGCGTTAAGTTGCGCGCGTAAGTTCCGCGCAATTGCCAGAGCACTGATTTCAAAGAGTGCTCTTGCACTGGCCTGTTTCACAGGCCTGCTGCCCTCCTTTCGGGCAAGAACAAGCTAGATACAAGCTAGCAAGATATGTTCCGGAGCTTCATCAACCAAAGATTCAAGTGACTCATCCCTAGTTGGAAAACACAACCCTACACATCGATCAGCAAACAGGAACCTCAGAACTGACCTGATTGCCTGTTCAGTTCCTTGCATAGGTGTTGCCTGTTGGCTACCTATGACACTCAACCTTGTCTTGAGGTCATGTCTTACCTGTGCCAACCAGAGGAGTTTCCCAGCGCCCGTCTAAATCGTGCGTACGCTTCTGAGGACAACGGTCGTTTGGCATTCGGGTCAGACACCGTCTTCTCCAAATGCGCCGCAACATCTGGCACATGTTCGGTGCCACTTCCAATCCCAAACTCCGCAAACGTGGACACCAAGTACTCAAGATCAACAGACAAAAACAACTCATTCGCGGAGGTGGATCGTGAGATGGTCCGTCCAATGAATGTCAATGACTCGCCTGGCTCAGTCACCGATCCTGTTGTCTTGGTAGGAACTACAGCACTGACGGTATCACATGCTGTTCGGCTTCTGGTGACGATGACGCCAACAGGATGTCATCAACATATACAATTGCCAAACATGTCCCAGGAACACATTGCCAGCATACGCCTCACCACCATACACACATGGTTCCACCGAATGCGACCAAAGACCAACCTTCTCCACGGTAGAAGACAACAGTTGTGACCAACACAATGAAGCACCTCGTAGACCATTCAACGCTTTATCCAAGAGCATGAAGCTTGGACTACCGTCTTCCAAACTGACACTTCTGGCATGCGCAAAATGATGTTGAGTTGTCCCAAGGGGAATGCACCTATTTGGCTTTGACGGCCCGATTCGGAAACGCCTCAACTTGTGGAATGCATCCATAAGTGCACTAGGATGAGCGCTCACCTGCGCTGGACCCGAGCTAAGGCTCGCACAGATGGACAGGAAAGTCACAGACTGCAATCAGGCAAGACCAGAGACGCATCCGGTGTGGGGGACAGCCAGCAGGGCTTTTTTTTTCCACGAGTGCGGACGCCGTGATGGTGCCCAGGTCATCATTGAAGGAAGGGAAATGCAGTCAGATGGTGGAGAAAAGGACAAAGACAACCCAACAACAAAAAACAACCGCCAACCACAGCCCAAAGGCCGAGTCTCCACCATCCTGTAGTCTTTCCTCTGTGCTAAGGTGAAACAAGTGAACGATGACTGCTGACTGTCGATGGGCCTGAATTCTCGAACGAAGAGCATCGCAGCGAGGGTTTATGCCTAGCAAAATCTCCAAGAAGTCGTCAAATGGACTTCACATCACATTTACCAGTGACCAGCGGCCACTGTACGGTGTGGCAAAAACATGGTCACGATGCAGGTCCCGGGCATTGATATGCTCTAACGCAGATTATATCCACATCAAAGTGGATCAGTGGTGATTGTGTTCGAGGGTTCGAAGGCATGCAGGAAGAGATTCGCAACTTGGAACACTGTGAAACTGGTTGGACTGTCAGTGAAACAGAAGGAAACGAACACAAGAAACAGTGGCCAAAAACTCGTGTGATCCAATGTCGGTTGGTCTGTGCTTACAAGTCCGCTGCACGAGCACAAGCAGGGGATTGTTGGTGTGGGATCAGTTCACCAACTCCTTCCATAGAAAGCGTTCTTTATCTTGGCCATTGCTTCCACTCGTGGGACCGTTTTTTGAAGACACTAGACATCAGTCATGCTTTCAAACGATTTCCTCTGGGTTCATGGGGACATGAACAGCAAGCAGAACATGATGGATGGGGCATCCTTCAATTTGTTCCTGCAATGGCAGGATTACACTGCTGTTCCTGAAGACAACAGTGTATGCCGTGCTTTGCTGCATGGCAATTGTCAATGTGCTTCTTGGACTGCGAAATTCTTGCGTAAGTCTAGTGTGGTTGTCCCCATGGAGCTGAAGCAGCCCAGCGCCAAGTCCTA